TCAACAAAACACTAGTCATACTATGTTGTCAAAGAAGCCTGGTTCCGTTGCAGCCGATAAGCTTAAAGCTTCAAACTTTCCTGCTTCATTTCTGAAAATAGGGAATTGGGAGGTATGCCATTTGATTTATTTTTTACTTTTATTTGAGTAATTAGTGTTTTTGAATTCTGATTTTTTTCTTCCTGTTGACTTAGTATAAGTCAAGGTATGAAGGGGATTTGGTGGCAAAGTGTTACTTTGCTAAGCATAAACTTGTTTGGGAAGTGCTTGATGGTGGGCTTAAGAATAAGATTGAAATTCAGTGGTCGGATATTGTGGCAATCAAGGCAAATTTTCCTGATGATGGGCCTGAAACCTTGGATGTAGTGGTATTTTACTTTCTTTCTCTTGATTACAATCATATACCTGTATAATACATGTCCCTCTTTATTGTCTCTGACGCGCGCGCGCATTTAATCTTAATAATGATAGTGGTGATGGAGGGTTGTATGTGTTTGGTGCAGCTGGCTAGACAGCCCCTTTTCTTTAGAGAGACAAATCCACAACCTAGGAAGCATACTTTGTGGCAGGCAACATCAGATTTTACTGGTGGACAAGCAAGCATACACAGGTACTGATACAATGTTTAAACTTCTATTAATTTGAGGGGAACTTATACATGTTATTGCCTCGCTGTTGAAATATCTGGCGATCACAATATTGGTGACTTTTATTATACCATCAAGTGTCTGATATTCATTTCCCTTTTATCTTTCATCGAAAAACATGAGCTTATAAAATTGAACAAGCTGGTTGAAGACAGGAAGGGAAGCATGGTGGAAATAAATCTCTTTCATAAAATATATTACTCTTAGAGAGAGGAAGTCTTATGGACTTGGACTTGAATAGAATACTTGAGCACATAAATTTATACAAGTCTAGGATAATTTAAGAGACTTAGAAAGATAAACATATCTTTAATAATTATAATGCACCTAGGAGAATTAAAAAACACTTTGACTTTAAAATTAATTCCACACTCCCCCTTAATTTTGAAAGTCTCAAAACTCTTAAAATTTGGAATGTGTTGGAGGATCGATCATCTTGCCATGGTTGCTGCACCTTTCTCATTTCTTTCTATCATAGACATCCCGCTTTGTCACACTGTTAAACTGCAATACATTTAGAACTGTATGCACCCTTTCGACTTCCCTTCCTGTCTTCGAATTGTACTCACACACCATGACACTTGTTTGAGTCCTTTTGTAGAATTCAAAACCAATTTCTCTTGCAGCAATCACAAATGCTGCTTCACTTCATTTGAAATCTTCATGTTTCTTTCATCCACATCAGGTATGGCAGTGTGATAGATTGCCAACAAGCGGAATAATTTTCAATGGTGTGAGCTTGGGGTCACAAACCCAGTTCCCATCCATAATCCTTTCATCTTTAAAATCAAAGCCTTTAATGAGCGGTTTTGTAGTGTGTAAGAATCCTTGCTCTGGTCCCAACCATTCACACTTTCACCTTCTCTCATAGCCATTCCCCCCTCAGGGGACAAAGTCTTCTCCCTAGCCTTCTCAGCCTTTGATTTGTGTGTGTTTTCCATTATAACTCTCTCTTTAGCAACTTTGGTGTTGATTTGAAAAAGAAAAACAACAAATTATTGAGTTGTTGCTGTAGAGCTCACATGAAGAATTTGTTACTGCTGAACTTATGTACTTGCTTAAACATGGCTCATCTAAGCTAATTTTCTTGTCTAATTGCTGCCGCCACATTCTTCATCATGGTTCCTGGCCAAATAACTTTCTTTTTAAAGAAGAGCTCTCTCTTCTTTTCATCATGTATGATTCTTATTGTATCCAACCAACTCTTGTGCAAGAAGTTGTTAACTTGCCTCTCTTGGCTTCTTCTATCATTCTCTTGACGCCAGATCCCAATTCTCTTGTTGGGCTTTATCATCTTGCACCTTCATTTTTTCTACATTTTAGCAATCTTATGGGAGATGCTGCAAACAGGCCTGCAAATGATTAGGTTTGAATATGAGTTGAGTTTGTTTCTATGTTTTAGCAATCTTATGGGAGATGCTTCAAATTTTCATCATTTTACTGAATAGAAAAGGATGAGCTGATCTTGGTCCAGGCTATTGGAAATATTGCATTATGTTAGGTTATCAGGTCTGAAGTATTGATGAGTGCAACTAGTAAATTGGATTTATCTGTTATATTTTGGATGGTTTTTTAGTATTTTAAGATGATCTGAAGTCCAATTAGATGACATTGCATCTTGTCTATGAGATCAGTGGGTTTGTACAATTTTCCATCGAACCTCTGTTATGTACTCTCCCGTGTTGGTTAAGGTAGACTCTTATTCCTGTCTGATGTGGACAGATCACCCTTCTTGTTCAAGGTTTCTGATTTTCTGTAATTATTACAAGTGGTCTTTCCCTCTGTACACTACATGGCTATGCCTTGACCATGAAGCGCCCCTTTCTTACTGCCATATTGGCTAGATTTCAACAAGAGCTTTATTACATCATTGCTGAGAAGTTCATTTTGTTCATGATGTATAGAAGATGCTATTAACAATTGATTCCTTCAGTTTTTGCTCTTTTATTTTATTTGAACTGCAATGCTGATTTTCTTACTTCTTACGCAGGCAGCATTTTCTACATTGCCAGCAAGGCTTCATGGGAAAGCATTTTGAAAAGCTTATTCAATGTGATCCTCGTCTAAACTTTCTTAGTCAACAGCAAGAAATTATATTAGAATCTCCATACTTTGAGGAAAGAGTTTCTTCATTCAGTGACTTGCATGAATCTGGCAAAGGGCTTGATTCTGAAGTTGAGGACAAGACCAATGTTTTTTCTCTGCGGGAAGCAGGACAACCATCTGGAGTTCTTTTATCTTCTTTGAATAATGAATGTCAAGGCTTCCTGTGTCAAACTCCTGAAAATATCTCCCATGAAACCTCTTCAACTAGCTTCGGTAAGATTATAATCCTAAAACTGAATATATTGATGAAAATGATGATATGAAGTTATGGTAAAAACATGCCTGCATATTATATCTACACCCTCTGCCATTGTCATCTTGGATAATTAACCTCATATTTTTATGAGGTCTGAGCTGCACTATGCTCGTAACTGTTCTTAATGTTGAAAACCCTTTTCTTTACCTATATTTTTTTTTTAGAAGCAATCAGACATATCTGATCTACTGTAATATATCTTCTTCTTTTTTACAATAAATGGTGGATTGCAATCGCCTATATGTCTGTTGCAGTTAATATTAACAGAGACCGCTAACTGATTCCCTTATGGAGGTGTATTGATAATCATGAGGGACCTGAGTTACCTCAGTCAATAGTTCAGAATGCGGACTAGTTGGGAATGAACTCTGTGATTACATGAAGCCATTGCTGAAAAACTCCGAAGAAACTGGAAAAGGGCTTTTGCTATATGGCTGCTAAAATTAGTAACTTGTGGGTATAACTATATATGATCTAGCTTTTACAGAGACTTGGAGTCATTTATATGTCAAACTAAAATGAATTCTCCACAAAAACTGTGGTCTCTGGATATGAAATGGAGAACTCCTTTGGCAGTAAGGGAACTGCATACAGTGTCGTATTAGCACAGGCATGTAAGCTCCCGAGTTGAATTTTTTTGTTAAGCCTAGTGCACATTAAGCGTCTTCAACATTTTCAAGAACCATCTGTTAGTCTTGCTTGACTGCTTATGTCAAATCCTTCTTTTCTTATAGCTGTAATACCTTCATGGTTACCATTTTTAAGGTCCATATCTGGAATGGTGATTTGAAATTTGTTCATTCTCTTGTGAATTTATTTGCATGTTTTAATTTCTTACCTTGCCTTCTGTAATTATTTTCATCCCTCTCGTATTTCTAGGAATGGAGACCCATGTATTTGAAGAAATCCGGAGCAACAGAACAGGGGAACAGAAGTTGCCTAGCAACTGGGATCAAATTAAAGTGCCTGGACTTCATCCATCCATGTCAATGAGCGATCTTGTGAACCATATTGGACATTGCATTTCAGAACAGATGACCTCTGGCAACTCTATCCTCTGTGGTGGTGACATAAAGAGCAGTGACATTCTGGATGAAATTACCCAATACTTGCTTGGAGACTCTCAAGTTACATCAGCCTCGGATGAGCAATCCCTCATGACAAGGGTCAATTCTCTTTGCTGCCTACTGCAGAAGGATCCTGGAACAGCCCGGGACTTGCACGGGAAACATCATGACAATCTAGATATGGATCATGGTGGGAGAGTAGACGAAACTAATTCAGTTACTGCATCAGAATGTCAAAGCAATCTTGCCGAGGATTTTCCTGCACCTGAGGGAGAAGCTAGCAACGTTACCTGCTGCAAGCAGGCACCAGCCATGACGAGGAAGGACTCAGTTGGAGAACTGATGCTTAATCTTCCAAGGATTGCCTCTTTACCACATTTTTTATTCAATGTATAGGAAGATTGTGGTAATCAAGCAGTATAGGGATATAATTTACCTCTTTCAACTTGTACATCAGTTTGGGGGTTCAGAGATGGATGTTGATGAAGAATCCTCCCATGTTCATATGGGGTTGCTGGTGACCATAGTGTTTGAACTGTAGTGTTTTCTTTGTACGACCTTTTGCAATCCTAACGGTTATATAAAGCTAGGTGTTATTAGTTTCTAGTGGATCACAGCCTTGTGTAACCCAAACAGTTGACGTGGAATGTGGTGTTGCAGTGTTAAACAGCAAATCATTTTCTATGAACCTCGCCCATAACAAGGGCTTCATCCTTAAAAGAAGATCGAAATTTTTTGGCACGTCTTTCTGATGTTTCGAAGAAATATATCTGACTCCTACTATAGTGCAGCATGCCATTTACTGGAAATCATGAGGCAAGAATATGCCACATGAAAATCACAGGGCAACACAAGGCAGAAGAATCGGTAGCCGCATTATCGAATCTAAACATTGCTAGCCACGAGGCATGGCACATGAACAAATTACCAGAAGCATATATACATTTCAGGAGGGAGACAGCTACAAGCAAGGAGCGTGCACAAGGTGCGACCAGTTCCAACATATAAGGTAACAAATACCGCAAAGAAATATCTGGACAAAAACGTGTATTTCATGTATAAATTCTTCTAATTTTCCAAACAAGCCTACAAAAAGAAAAAATAAACGATCAAACACCTATTTAAGGTCCATCAGGGTCTTCATCCCCCACATCTTCGTCGCCCAATTGTTCATTTTCCTGAAGCATGTTCATCAGCATTGATATCTGGTCTTGCAGCATAGCATTCTCTCTCTCTACCTCGGTGCGTTTACTTTTTTCTTGCAGAAGTTGGAGTTGGAGATGTTCTAGACACCGTGCATCTTCTTCCAACTGCTCATTTAGGCCATCAATTTCTCGGTCCTGCAAAAATCATTCAATGATGATTCATTCCGCACACGCAGTCAAGGTGATTTGTAATCTTAGGCTTGTGAAACTAATACCTTTCTATTCATTTCCTGCACGGCAATCCTCCTCATACTCTCAACAACATCCACATTAACAAGCTTTCGCTTCTTTCCAATGAGCCAGCCCTTGGGATAGCTCGCAGCATCAAAATCCGGTGGAGGGAGTAGGGATTCTGCAGGTAGCCTTTTGCCGTTGATATTTGTTACAGGTTCCAATGGTTCAAAGAGGGCCTTTCGACGCTCAGAAAGCTCTGAAGCTGGATTCGGGTCCTCCATCTTTTCATCAGTGAAGGATTCTTCCTGTTTGTTGGGTGTTTCATTAACAGTGTTCTCCGTTACCTTCTCTAAATTCCTCCTGCCAGCTGTTGGAAAGAAGTTACCATTCTAGTTCCAAACAAATTTAGAGGCATGGCAGATCTATATCATGTATACCATAGCACTAAAAAATATAACAAGTCACATATATGCTACTGATATCGACAGTGTTATGCATTTTGAGCTTGAAGGAGAACTGTAAACAATGAAACGATTATGCTATTATGTTGAATGAATACAGAAAACTGTAATACGTGTGAACTAATCATGCATGATGGCACTTATCATACATTTTTCTGTGCTCTTTGGGAGCTTAGGCAAACCATAATGGATACTTATGAAACTGACAATCCACACACTTGGCTCTTTCAGAACAAACTTATACCAAGCTTAAGTTACTTGACGTCTACAATTTGCTAATTACTGATCTATCAGCAAAGAACTCAATTGATAATCTTTCTGAATGACAACAACATTGCCACTTTGTCCAGAAAATTATTACCCTTTTCTTCCTAGAGGTAATTAGGGGATGAAAAGAGAAAAGATCAGTATCTCCTATACCAAGTCACCCAGTTTTTCCATCTTTCAAGGTTAGAAGGCATAATTTCGGTTAACAAAATACCATTTACTATTGCATAAATCATAGATTCATCAACCAAAAATGTTAGGTGAAGCTGTCTTTATCACAATTCATATTAATCTATAAAGGATGTCCCCCGTTAGATGAAATTGGTAGTAATAAACCGAAAACGTAGCAAGATGGCCACTTTTGCGCTGCCAAAAATTAATAGCAAATTTCCGAAGTTCAAAGTAAGGCCAGGAGAGGTAGGCCAGATCAGGTGACTAAAGAAATTGACTCTCATTATAAAATCAAAAAACCAAAATGTTTAAAAATATATATATATCAAGTGTTTTTTTTTAATTTTAAAATTTATCTTTTATATCAATATATTAAAATATAAAAATAATAATTTTAAACTAAAAAAAAAAAGGGCCATTACCAAATGCTACTATTCAAGAAACCATCCTCGATAATTGGGGATAATTGCTGTTTTCTTGTAAGAAATAACAAAAGGAAAAGTAACTAAAAAGGATAATAATGATAATAATAAGAAGAAAGAGAAGAAGAAGAAGAAGAAGGGGGAGAGAGAGAGTGATTTACACCAAACTGATGAATTAACGTACCACCAAAGAAAACAAGTCGTGACCACAAAAGAAAGAAAGAAAAAGGCAACAAGTTACAATAAACTATTCTCTCTCTAATTAACTAACAAATGTTAAAGCTATCATCTTTGCCTCTCTCTACTGTATGGAGAGAGAAGGTTCTGGTTAATAATTGACCATTGAAGTAGTCAAAGGATTTGTTCTTGTTCTCACGATGAATGTAAGAATTAAGCTCCAAAATGTCTGAAAAATGAAGTCTTTGACACAGATCTTTCAAGAGCATGCAACAAGAACTAGAATTTGTGACTAACATCAAATTTCAAGGTAGGGGTTTGGTAGACATGTTCGTAAAACATGCAAACATATAAAAAATGACCGAATTCAAACACTCCTTCTGTCTCGCTCTCTCTTGTTATCCCAGAAAGCAAACAGAAAGAAGAAAAAGGTGATAAGGAAGAAGTAGAAGAAAGATTATTTGGTACTACCTGATCTCTTTCTAGATTTCCAAAAGACCCTAGTTGAAGAGACTGGAGAGAAGCCATTCAAAGGTTCTGCTTCAACCATCTTCATATCCTTGATATTATTATCGTTCTCCTTTCCCATTAAAGAAGTTATATCAACTTGCTAGAACATCAAGCTCTCTCTTTGCTTCTAGACAGAGAGAGGGAGCGATGGAGGAAGTGGTTTCTTTGGTATTGAAGACAGCAAGCTGTGTCTGTTTCAACCTTTTCTTTTCTTGTATTTTGTTTGCCGTCTTCAGTCTTCAATCACCAAGGAAAGATTGTGGATAAATGATGCTGTTGTTATTTGTTATTCTGAATTTCTGGGGGTAAACTATATGATAATCCCCAGCTATTTCATGATGTCTATTACAGTCCATATAGTTTAATGACTTGTCAATTATCAATCTTTATCTCATAGTTTTTGAACTATTTAAATACAATTTTTTTGTGTTAAATAATAATTACATTTAAATATGGGGACGATTTATATTTTTTTTATCCTGGGTGTTTTAGGGATTCTAAGTATTTAAGGATTGGTAGAAATCATAGGGATGATATTGAATAATCTTGATCTACAAGGACCAGACCATAATATTCATTAACTTACAGGGATAAAAATAAGTTGACCCATTTTAGGGTCATTACCGGGACGGTAGCATCAAGGTGGGGTGTCGTTGATATCTTGAACGGTGGGGATTTTAGCTTAAGGCTGAAGATTTTAAAGCCAACAGTGGGTCCCATGACCTCTGCTTTGTGTTGTGTGCATTCACCCATTTTCTATGTGTTTTTAATTTCATGCACGTGTTATCTTCTTTGGCTGGTTTGTATTTGCCTGGTTTTATCATTTTATTGCCATTTGTTTGGTGTCCTCCCCCACCCCCACCCCCCCATTTTTATTATTTATTATAATTAGAATTCATGATTTTAAGTTTAATTTAAATTTAATGTTGAATCGGATAAATTTAACTAAAACAATATAGTTGTTTTTTTAAAAAAAAACCACAATTACTAATATCTTTTTCGAGCTATATTCCATGTCCATTCTACAGAAAGTTAGTGCAAATTATATTCTGCTTCGTGCTTTGATACCACGTGTTGTAAGAAAAGTATATATCCCATGATGCGTAGGGGAATTTATTGCCGGGAGGTGGAGATTTCTTGAAATTTGGATTCTGTGAGAGAGCAGCCTCACCAATCCACCTACTGACCTTCAATGGGTGAAAAAGCAGCTCCTTTTACGTTTTCTCATGATTCTGGCTTCGTCTTCAAGTCTCGATTTGGATGGTGGGTTGGAGAATGTAGTGGGGCTTAGCCTTTAGGGCTCAACATGAACCATGGGCAGTCTGGGCTGGGCTGGTGGTGAGGTTAGTCCAGTTTTGGGTGCTCGCCTCTGTCTTCATCGCAGAAGAAACTCTGACCATGGAAAACAGGATTCTAATGGTATAATTAAATGGTGGCAAGTTTTTGGGTTGTGTAGAACGTGCCTGTTCTTGAAGGTGATGCAAGATGATGAAGTGCAGTATTAAGATAACCTAAGGGCAAAAACCACGGATGTAATTAAAAATTACGAGACAACAATCCCTAGTAAACCCTCCATCCACCTATAGTCATATAACTCAAATCAGGTGATGCATTAACTAGTTCGGGTTGAAGAGTGTGTTTGTCAGTGTGAAGTGGTTGTTTTTTAAATAATTTTTTGTACTGAAATGTATGCTAATAATATTTTTTATTTTTTAAAAATTATTTTTAACATCAGTATATCAAAACGATTTAGAACGTACAAATCATATTAAATTTTAATAAAAATAAAAAATAAAAAAAAATTGAATTTTTTAAGAACGCAAGTTTAACCGCGTTTCCAAACACTATGGAAAAATAGGGTAAAAAATTAACGAGTTGGTTAAAAAATATAAGTTGATTCTTAATCTAAGATAAATCACAGTCAGAACCCAACAAAAACCCATTAACTTCATTAAATCTTGTTTATCGAAATAATTTCCTTGTGTTGGTGTTTTGAGAAAAACAATCGAGATCTAAATTGACTCTCCAGACCAGAAAACCAAGCCTCACCCACAGTTGACCACCAAAGATTTTTATGCATCTCTTCTCTAGAAACTCAAAAGGACAAAAACAAGTTTACTAGATGTGGGCTTGCCGACACATAAATTTCTTTATAAAAAATTATGTTTTAGTATCATAAGTGCATTTTAATGAAAGAAAAAAAATTATTACTCATGTTATAAATATGACTAGATCAAATAAATTATTTTATTTTAATTAGATGATAACAAAAAGTTAATAATAATAATAAACAAACCAAAATTAAAAAAAGAAGATCACAATAACTTGAAAAACAATTTCTAAAAATAAAAAATAAATAATTTAATTTTCAACCAATCAAATATTGAATAACAAAATTAGATAAAAAATAAAAAAAAAACTCAACTCGAGTTGACCTGAGCTAGCATGATAGACATGTTGTTAGGGTAATAAAAAGTAAGTTAATTTGGATTAACCTATCAAACTCACAGCTAAGTTATAAAATTAAGATAATCCAATAAAAAATAAAAAAAATCACGAAGCTTATTTTTTAAAAATAATGTTTAGCAATGAAATAAAAAAAAATCAAAAAAATATAAACCCTCGTTAACTTTTCAAACGTATAACTCAACTAATTAGACTAGAAGCATCATACATGGAAAAACAATAAAACCTAATCTCAGCAGATTAAATGTTGTATAATGAAATGATAAAAAGAAATAATTATGCAAAAGGATTCAAAACCAAAAATATAGCAACTAAAAGCATAATGATCAAAATTAAAATAAAAAATAAATTAGAGAACACTATGATTTTTTGATTGAATGATGAATTTGAAAAAATAATCACTTTAAAAAAAGGATAAAAAAATATAGAATGAATTGAAAAAAATAAAGATAAAATTGAAAACAAATAAAAGTTATACAAAAAAATCAAGAAATAAATTAGAAATAAAAAATAAAAAAGACAAAGTTGAAAAAAAATAATGTATTACAAATTAAATTGAAAGATAAAATTAAAAAAAATAAAATTATTATGAAAGAGTTAGAAATAAAAATTAAAAAAAATAAAGTTGAAATATAAATAACTAGATAACTTTAAAATTTTAAATGATAAACAAGATTTTTAAAAAAAAATTACACAGTCAACAATCAATCCTACCACATGCCCTCTCAGAAAACAAACCATGACAATTCCAATGACAAAAAAAAAATAGCATTTTACTTGTGTATTAACTAAAACTATTTTTATTTTCAAATTATCTTAAAAATATCTGTGTCATATCGATTCAGAGGAATGTTTAAATTTCTCCTAGTTTTGATCTCAAAATCTAAACCTAAAAAACAAAAAAAAAAAATCCTCTTAATCATCATAGCAAGTGCGCTTACTTAACTATATATCTATAGACTATAGATGTCAAGAAAAAACACCCTAAAAAATTAAATTAAACTAATTAATTAAACTAATTAAAAAATTTTAAAAAATTCTAATTCAATTTAGTTTAATATTTTAAAAAATTCTAATTCAATTTAGTTTTAGTTCTGTAATACAAAAACTGGTTAACTCAAATCAAACTAAACTGATTGAACTAACACTTAAACTTGCTATAAAAAAAAAAAAACTCTAAAATTAAACTTTAATATACTTCACTCTAGTCGCCCCCTGTACCATATGTCTTTCAAGGCATTCCTTTTTCACCACTCTTCTTTTCTATTTTTTTTATTATTCTTTGATTTTTTGGTTGAGCTGCTATGCTTTTTGGCAGTCAATCTCCACCCCTGAACTTAATCCTTCTATCTTAGGAATTTTTATATTGAATATGAGTTTTTACCTTTCCCCATTTCCATATAAGTTATTCTTCCCTTATAGGAACTCGGTCTTTCTAATATATCAAATAATATGGTAGATGAATCAGGTAGAAGATCGGCTGCTTCTCTCGCTGTCTTCGATCGACTTCAAAGCTTTTTCACCTTTTATGCTTAGCGTTTCCATTAAATAGTATTGATTTTTTTAATTTTTTTTAATTAATCTAATTGAACCAAATCAAAAATGATTGGTTTGAACCAGTTTTAATTCTAAATTAAAGAAATAAAAATTTAGTTTAGTTAGTTTTTTAAATAAAAACTAAACCGAACTATCCATGCCAAAAACTACTAACTAGGTCTAACCGTGGAGGTGATTTTGGATGCATAAATTGGATAGCAGGAGTCGCTGGCTCTGGTGGATTTAGCTCGCCTGCTAGTGTAGCCCTCCAAAAATTTGCTGCGATCATTGCATGGCCTCCCTTGCTGGCCTCTTGGTGATGGCGTTGGCCCCGGCTTTGGAGGTGACCTCAGGGTCCCTTCATGACTCGTCATGATCTCGGCTGGTGGCTGCAAAATCAACCTCTCATATAATGGATTTTGTGAAAGATAGCTTGAGATTTACAAGAGCATCTCCAATTCTAAATTGAATGAATGCTAAAATAAACGAAATATTATTTTAACTTTTCAATTTTTATTTGATGAAGTTGCTTGTTTTTATGTTTAGAAATTATTTCTTTATTGTTTTCATGTCCTAATTTTAAAAATATTATTTTAATATATTTTAAAAAACAAACACTTTTAATTTCGCAACTCCAGACATAATCTTTCTGAAGCACATGAACAGAGAGAACATTTATAGTAAAGGGGAGGTCCGGCAAAGCGAGAGTTCACTCCGAACCCAAGTGCTTAATTTACCTCTTAAGCCACCTGATTAATTGATATTTACGTTAGTTTATCTTATTCACCATTGTTCTCGTAGCAAGAAAATACACATAATAAATCGAGAGGGATTAAATCCCTCTTAGCAATATAAGGAGAAGATGGTTACCTGCAGGTAAACTTCTTGCTTGATCGACATTAATGGCTACAAGACCAATGAAAGCTAAAGCAGGGGCAAGGAGGAGAGCACTGGCCATTGGAGTCTTCGCGTTCCTTGGCATGTGCTTATATGACTACTAAGCATATAAGAGTTGTTGTTTTTTAGGCATATGATAGCTGAAGCAGGTAAATGTGGAAATGAAGCCTCCATTTTACACTCTAATTTGATAATTAGAAGGGGAAAATATAACAATTGGAGGTAAATGTGGCAACGAAGCTTCCATTTTTCATCTACTTGTTTTTGAAAATTAAAGAGGGGTAAGGAGAAAAATCTTTTGATTACTATTTTAAGGTAAAGAAAATAAAGATAATATAAATAGAAACATGTGGTTGAAGAGATAAAAATAAAAATATAAAATAAATTTATATTTGAGATAATTTTATAATGAATTTTTATAATTTTAAGATAGAAATCACATAAAAATATATCTTCTTTGCACTTGGTTTTCTTATTTTTTAATTTATTTATGTTGGACTAGTTTGAATTTAAATCTTTTTATTTTTATGTTTCAAAAAATAAATTTTAAAAAATAATTTTTTTATTTTTTATTTTAAATTAATTTTTTTATATTTTCAAATTATTTTAATATACTAATATAAAAAATAATTTTTTAAAAAACAAATCAACATCATCATCGCATCACAATTCATCCAAGCATCGCCTTTGGTCTAAATGAGTGTCCGACAGAGGTCACTCTGCATCCAATTTCTTATTGTTCTGGTCATTCTCACTACTTTTGCTTGGAAGTATAAGTTAGTTGATGTGTGCTCATACCTTAACATCAAGTGTCATTTTTAAGCTGCTTATTAACAAGTCTTGTTAATAGGACAAATTAAATTGGTCTGGATTTTCCTCGAAATTTCCAAGCGATCTTTGTTATTTAATTATTTAATGACGTGTGGGATGAAGTTGGAAATTTGTTAAGTGGATAATATAAATTATATACGCAGATTTTATATAATTATTTTGAATTGAAATATTTTTTAATATATTATTAAAATTTTATTAACTAAGTGATGACAAGCTAGTTATATCCATCCACGATGAAGGTATTTTGGTGATCTCCTGTAAAATGTAATTAATGAAATTCTTTTCATTCTCCAGGCAACCCTAATCAGCATGAAATGGGACCTTCTCTCCTCTAACTAGATTATACCAACTCAAAAACTAAGATTAACATAACCATTTAGGTGGTGGTCAAGTAGTAAGAGTTTGGGATCAAGAGGTTTTCTCCCTTTATGGTCTCAGGTTCGAATCCTGGGTTGCTCATATGATGGCCACTGGAGGCTTACATGGTCGTTAACTTCAGGGCCCGTGGGATTAGTCGTAGTACGCGCAAATTGACCCAGACACCCACGTTAATAAAAAAAAAAAAAACTAAGATTAACAAAAATAAACATCTTACATAAAAGGCATTTAACGCCAGATCTAAATAGAATACCTGCAAAATGATTGAGAAGTGGATGGGAAAGGAAGGCATCTACCCGTTTTGTAATCAGGTTTGGGGACATACACAGGATACATAACTTTGAGGGGGATAATGTTGAGTTAATTATAATTTAAATTTGATTTAGGAGTATTGGAAGACTACAATGATGTCACAAAGCTCGGATCTTAATGATACATGAAAAAATATTTAATATTTAATATTTGTTGGTAATAAAGTTGTGAGAGACCAAGCCAAAACCCATATCAGATATAATCAATTAGGGTTGTTGTTTGTTAACATGAGACAAGCTGAATTTTAGGTGGGTGATAAACTAATGATTTGATCTGTGATAAATCAAATGCAGTGGTGAAGGAATGATGAATGACTTGGATTTTTGTTGCCTATGATTACTTTAATTACCCAAGTAATCACCATTATTAGTAAAGTTTTTCACAGAAATTTACTTTTTCCTCTTTCGTTTTTTCAATTCTTAGTTATTTATACTTTTGAATTTTGAGAATTTTCTTAATCTAGATCTCTTGAAAATTATTAATTTTATTTAAATAAAAAAAAATGTGTTATAATATTAAATATCTTAATCTATATTTATTTATTTTTTTATAGCTATGTTTTTATTTTGTCATTGATTATTTTTTTCATTTATTTACATAATAGTTTGTAATTTATTTAATTAAATGAGTACATAATTTTTTTTTATTTTTGATATTTTATATAAAAAAACACATCCAGAAATTTTATATGTTTAATTTTTTAAATTTTTTTTTTTAATTTTTATTAATGTATTTTTAAAAATAATTTAATATGTAAGACCACAAATTAATAATAAATCGGACACAATCTTAATAGAAGGGTCATATTAATATATTTGGTTAGTAGAGTGACTATATAAAATAAGAAAAGAAAATAGAGGTACCAAATTAAGGTAATGATTGACATTTTTTTAAGGTGTTTTTTTGTTTATAAATACATTAAAATAATATAATTTTTATTTTTAAAATTTTATTTTTAATATTTGTATATCAAAATAATTTAAAAAATAATAAAAACATTAATTTTAAAAAAAGAATCATATTAAAAAAATTACAGCAAGAAAACGTAAACAAACAGTCGGCACAGGAATCTAGAATAAAGGGACTCAATATATCTAGCTAGAAATGATGCGTGGACCATTTGTCAAACAAAAGTCGACGCGTGTAGAATCTTCATTCTTACATGTAGACACCAATCCCTTTGTCAATTATTGCTCCTGCTCCAGCCATCGCCAGACCCGGCCCGGAAACTTAGAATTATTGGATTAATTCACGGATACTTGAATTAATTATTTTTATTAAAAAGATATTATTAAAAAAAAAGAGAGAGAGAATAATGTTGATATTAATTAGCCAAATTAAATTTGACTGGGCTAAATAAACTTTACCATGCCAATAATTAGTTAAAATTAGATTGATATTCATAATTTATAGAATCCACCGCCGGTGTAGGGAGCATGTAAAAGTAACCCGTAGATCCCAGCTTCTCAGAAAAAGGAAAAAGGTAAACAAGACAAAACAACTCCACCATCTGAAGTAATAATAATAAGCTAACAAAAATAAATAAAACCCTACAGCTATTTCCATCCTTTCATTGGAGTAATAGTTATCAATCGTCACTGTCATCACATGGAGCATCCACCTACCATTTTCATGGTACCTGAACCCCCACCTTTCCCTGCATCACCAAGGAGTGTAGATTTAGCCCCTCTTGAATTCATTCTTGCATTCATAGCAGTTATCGCCGTTCCCGCTCTGATCTACACCTTTTTCTTCTCTATCAAGTGCCCTCCTGGCCCTTTCAGGAGGAGGAGGCGTCACCGAAGCAGCAGTTCTATCATCTCTGAAACCCTTTCTGTTGCTGATATTGCTGATACCGACGACGTAAACGGTACAACGAGCGGTGACCAGAAAGAGCGGGTTTCAGATGTTAAGTTTCAGAAAGACACGCATGTGAAGGATGTTGGAAGTGAATGTCCAGTTTGTTTGTCTGTGTTTTCTGATGGGGAAGCCTTGAAGCAACTAAGTGCGTGCAAGCACTCCTTTCATGCTTCTTGTATTGATATGTGGCTCAGTTCCCACTCAAATTGTCCTGTCTGTCGGGCTTCTACTGCCCCTCCTGCCAAGCATCCTGGTAAGAATGCCTCCTCTTCAACATCTAGAAATAATGTTGACGATCTCCAGCAAGGATTGCCGGATGCGGCGAGTTTGGTTTGAGTACAAGATCTGGCATCTCATTGGCTTTTGCTTTCCTATATTGTAGAGTGAGCTATTATCCTACTTTACAGCCTAAAATCCAATGTCATTTTTTACTCTTTTTTTTTTAATTGACAAATCAATAGGAGAAGTTTGTCTACAATTTTTTCTTATTGTCTTGGCAAGTTCTAGCTCCAAAATTCTCCTTGCTGAATTATTGCGTAATCATGTTGGCAAGATGATTTGCAAAATGGCGAGGGTGACTGTATCTAATTGAGAGTATTACAGACGGCAGAGATGATGAATAAGAAATTTACTATGGTACTCGTTCAAAATTAACCTGGATACAGTCATTACAAAAAGCATCCAGAACAATATTGTGGCATCATTTTTGCCTTTCCACAAAAGCAAAGTTTGCCTATCTTGTTATTTTTTGACATGATGAAAAAATAACAAAACTTGATGAATTTAGTAAATCTTTGAAGCACGCATGAATAAAGTGCGCATTGATGCCTAAAACTTGATTTTCTACAACATAAAATATAAGAAAACATATAATTCTCCTTTGGTTGTCGTGTAAAGTGAATTTTCATGATAAAACCAATATGAAAAATGATTGATGTTATACATGCTGAATACTCGTCCAGGAAGAAGCCTGGCTGATTGTATCCATAAAAAAAAAAAAAAGGTATTTCAGTGGCGATCTTCAACATGTATGTCAGCAATCTCCAAAACGGCATGCTTGTTCCTACAGCTAGGTCAAGGTAAATAATCTTTCTTAGCATGTTAGTCTTCTTTAAGTCGTTGCCGTCTCCCATTTGCAAGAACAAAACCAGAACTTGCTAGCATTCCAACCAAATATCCAGTCATGGCTCCATAGGTCACACATATCGGCCATTCCTGTAAATCATAAATAATGAACATCAAGCCTCAAAAGAATCATATAGGAAGATGATATGACGAGGAAACAAGTAAAAGTCAGCAGGACTCCAGGGATGCCTGAAATGAGAAGCAGAAATATATAGTAAGGAATTTCCCCTGCAAAATCATCCTGGATCAGAGTCATGTACCGTAGCAATATGAAATTAGAGTTCAGTCTAAAGTGGGTTCCTGAGCTACGCATTTGCTAGAACCCAAAATACGTATATCAGATAATGATATTAATCTCTGGTTAGGAGTGTGGAAGAGAAATCAACTCAAAACAGTAAAGAACAAAAAATTGTTGGCTGACTTGAAGAAAATTCAAGTTGAAACTAGAAAAATAGGTTCAGGGTCTGTACAGAACCTCAAATCTATAACGATTGATAATGACATAAACATGTCGGAAAAACAAGCTAGACAGCCCAATTTATACTAGTTTTAGGTCTAAATCCTAATCTTTATAGAAAAATGATTCCTTGTTGAAAGTTATATAGCTAATATAGATTCCAACTTGCATTAGGATTCCTAAACTATAAGAAAAGTGAAAAAACAATGGAAAAATATTCAATAAACCAAAAGCTCCTATGTCATTAAGGAATCCCCCGATAATGCACTTTGTTTATTTTGTATCCTGAAGAGAAACAAGTTTCTTGCTGTATCTTAACTGTTGTGAGGCTTTAACTTATCTGAACACCTGTATGTTTCCTTACTTAAGCGGTCAAGTCCTCGACCTTGCTTTGTCTAAAAATGTACTGAGACCAATGCTTCCCTTGATTCCAAATAAGATTAAGCATCAAGCTCCAATAACCTCAAGTTCATCATTCTCAGCAAGTTGAACACATTTGCTATTATAGCTTATGAAACTAACGTTGTAGAGTCATTCATCACTATACTCCCTCCCACCTAAGACCTACAAAACTTCCGCACTCATTTACTGTAAAACAGAAGGGGCTCAATGCTCACCGAGTGAAAGTAGGAACAAGGTTCAGAAAGTGATTCCTTATAAGCTACACAGATAAGAAATGGTTTATCACCCAAGCAAGAAGCAGTATAAAGTGGGCCAACCCATGCCAGCCCATAATAGTCACTTTCAAAAGAGTGTCAAAGCAATTATGGAATTCCTGATATACAGAAGGGTAATAAACACCCACGATAACACCCTAGGGGATACATAATAACCTCTCTATGGATAAACAGTGTTCATTTGGAAGAAAATGACCAATATCTTCGCTCAAAGATGCAGCAGTTTCCAAAAGTGTAACAGGCAAAATCAAATAGTACAGGAACTGAAGGAAGAAGAACAGTACCTGCCATGGCCTTTCCCAGTCCAGTGGCATAGGCCAAGCTCCAAACCAGCCTCCAATAACAGCCCCATGCGCGGGTATGCAGATCATATATTCCAATGGTTCATTTGGCCTAAGAGTGGGGGAAAAGAATTCAACATTGATGCAAACAAATTTGTAGGAAAGCCAACCAGTTTTCTTCATGTGTCATGCTTTTAACTTCTCAGACTTGATTTTTAGAAAATTCCAGTCAGTTTGCCTTGCTGATCAACTTAGCAGACAAAACATAAGCTATTGATGGGCTCGCCCCCATTTCAATTCAAATATTGTACATATACCATGTCTAATCCCACCAAAAAGTTAAGGCTTGCATGTACCCAAACTGTGGTTCTCTTTGAACTGGAAAGAAATCCACAGTTCAAAGCAATGGAACAATTAAATTATTTCGTGGAGATAAAAGAGATGCTCAAAAAGAGCATTTGCTGTACACTAGAAGTCTAAACATGGACTAAAAGGCAACTAATGTTGGAAACCTTACTTTGTCTGTGCAAATATCCGTTGCCAGTATGTCCATGATGAACCAAATACTGAAGCAGCAGGTGCAAACTGCCAAAAGATATAAAGGCAATGATTAGACTTCCCCTGCTAAGGTAGAATTTGGGATTATAGCAGCAGTTACTTTTCAAAGTGTTTTTCACCTGGAAATGCATCAAAATAATATTTTTTTCATTTTTTAAAATTTATTTTTGATACCAACACAGCAAAATGATTCAAAATCATTAAAAAAAAATCAATTTGAAGCAAAAAAAAAGAACTTGAAAAATTTTCAAAAGCACTTTTTAAACACAAAAATAAAAACAAGTGCAATAAGCACAGTGCGGGGAAATAAATTTGCAGCCTTGAGACCCATTCACTGAATAAGAGAAAGTTTGGAATGAAATATAAAAAATCATGATACATTCATCTGGAGAGCAAAAAATTAACAATAAAGAGAATTAAATAGAACTGAAAAGATGAGATTATTATTAAATAGAACTGAAAAGATGAGATATTAATAATGTAGATTCAAATTTGATTCATCAAACATTAAGAATTATGCTAGCCAAGTTCAATAACAACAAATACTTACTGTGAATGATGACATAAGAAGAGACCAGTTTATGGTCTTTGGCAAGTACCTGTCCTCAAATACCAAAAAAGCAAATCAAACATGCACTCCAGATGAAGTTGAATTCAAAAAACCAAAGGAAATGATGCGGTCTGAACAGCATCATGATAATGAAAAATATTCATGAATCATGTTTATAATTCCTCTCTTCATAATTCTGAAATCGTAAGTCAATAACTAGAGTTGGGCAGCCACCAACAGTTATTGAAGCTCAACATCAAAACTTGTTTCAAACAAAATAGAACTTCACAAGGGACAATGAGGGGGGAAAGGAATTAAGAATCTGATAGTGAGAAAAGGTTTTCTTAGGGACTACAGCCTTAACAGTATTAGAAAGAATCTATCTCTTGCAACCTCAACTATGAATTCTAATTTCAAAATTTTCTCAAAATATTCAAAACTGTCAACAAGGAGCACACATACTGGATACCAACAGGAGCACCCAAAGCAATGGCTCCAAGTGCATTCACAAGAGCGCCTACAAAGTAAAAGATACAAGGGAATATGTTAAGTTGACATGATGCATATACAGAAAGTAACAATAATAGCCAGAAACTAAATTCAGCAGCAGCATAATTTCACTTACAAGATTTTGAAATACATTCCAAAATCAAATTGTTTACTTCTATTCATTTCAAACCTCAATAAAGTCTTGATTGAAACCTTGACTTCTTGTTGAGTAGGTTTACCAAGGTGACATATTTACATGCTAAATAAATAGCAGAGATATTCTAATATATTCAAAGCATACATTTTTTTATTCTGTATCATAAAACTAAGATACCAAGAAAAAAAAAAAAAAACTAAGAAAGCAAAGTTCAATACTGACCAACAGGAAGTGCCAATATTCCCCGTACTACAGCTTTCAAGTACTGCAAAATTCACAAAGATTCAAAAAAAGACAGATCAACTAAAGCAGGAAAACAAATCCAACAAAGGGCTTGTTTGGTTTCCAAGAAAATGAGAAAAAAAAAACCTAACTTTTCCCCATTTTCTAGAAAGCAAGAAAAACCCAAGAATACATAAAGAGCAAAGAATGACAAGGTAATACCGAGCATTGTTGCGGATCAATTCGAAAGCGGCTGTAAATAAGTATGACAATTGCACTCTCTAAAATCTAAAAAAATAAACAAAAAAAGATACCAATTAATAATTTAGAACAATAACTTCAAAATCAACGAGAGAGTGGTTTTTGAAGTGTACCCAGATGAGACGGAGGGTAATTGAAGGATGAGAGACAAGATTGATGGAGTAGAAATTGTGGGCTACCCATAATGATATTGCTAAGCCAAGTCCAGATATCAGATGGATGAGAAATGCTTGTGGAGCTGATACTGCTTTGGAGAGATTCTCCTTCTCCTTCTCCTTTTTTGATTGGTCGGCCATTGATGACTATCCGCCAAAATTCATTAAGCTAACACCAAAATTCAATCTGATTATGGATTTCTACAGTTGAGGTTTGAGCTTTGCTTCCGACGGGAAGGAGACGATGGTGCTGAGAAGAAGTGACGAAGAGACGAGCGGAGGGAGGAAGAATAGAAGCTAGTGAGAATGGTACGGTATACTAATTTTTGTACGCATTGATTTATTCCACTTCAATCCTTATATTTGAAATGTTTTCACTTTTACCCTTTACCTTTACCTTTTAGGTAGTTTCATCTTTTACCCTTTATTACTAAATACTCACCATTTTTCATGTTTTTATTTTACTTCTTTTCTTTTCTTTCACTCAATTCCTCATGCATGTTATAATATTTTTTAAAACACTTGAAGACCTAAATAAAATCTAAAAAAAATAATCAAAATATAGGTTATTTAGTGTTTAGGGACAAGTAA